GGATCGAGCCACATTCTGATCCTGTCTTCCTTGATCGCACTGATTCTCACCTAATTCCACAGAAAAACACGCGAACTTGATTGAATTGAATTGATTCACTAAAAGATTAGAGTCACGTGTACGATCGCAACAGCCACGCCTATGTATAGTTATATAGTTCGAGAAGAGAAAAGGATTAAAAATCTAAAATTTTTTTTCCGCCTCGAAAAGGAGCATTAGGAGCTAGTATTCATTTCATACGCGCGCTATCGATGAATACGTTTTGATTCGAATGACCTTTGCACGGTTCAAGGCCGACTGGTTGCTGTTCCTTCATCCATCAACGCGACGAGATCGCGTCGAATTTTTTCGAGGTCGTCGCGGAGATTGTCATGCGATCGGTGCAAAGCCATTAAGCGGAAGCGGAACACGTCATCGGTCGTACTTGATAGTTCCCTCTATCTTTACATTCTCATACGACCGATATCTTGCACGTGCGATGGGTATCAAAGAAACGTGTTTATCTTGGCGGAAATAGAAAAAAAAAAAAAAAAAAAAAAAAAAAGAAAGAAAGAAAGAAGCGTGTACGTGAATGGAGCCTTATTCGAATCTGGGATGAAGATCTTGGAGAAAAAGATTGCTCCAAGCTCTTTTCGCCACGAAATTACGAGGCCGATATTACGAGGCTTGTGCGCGTCAACGTTTTAAGCAAGTTAAAAAGCGAAGCGGCCGAAAACGAAGAAAAAAGATGAAAAAAGGAGGAGGGGGAAAAAAAAAGGAAATCAATGCATGAAAACTGAAAGTGCACGAAGCCTTTAGCATCCGTCGGCTCGTGATAATCCCTGGAACACGTTGCCGCTCGTTTTTCAAAAGCACCGGTGATACAACGTGCACGTGCTGAATCGTTGATAGCATGTTGGTTAGGTAGAGAAGTGAACGGGAGAGACGAGAACGACGGAAGAGAAGCAAGAAGAGGGACGGAGAAGAGGAAGAGAGATAGAGAAATGGGATGGAGAAAGGAAGACAGAAAGAGAGAGAGAGAGAAAAGCAGCGAAGCACGGAGTAGTGCGGCTCGTCACGGAGCTGCTCCCTCTCGGTGGGTTTATTGATCGCAGGGTGCGGAGCGGACCAATCTACCCCTCGTGCAGCGTACGCCATGCTGGCTGGTATTTGCCCGAACCAGTCCGCTTGCTTGCCAGCCTGCTCGATTCTTCTCCGTCAGCCTTAGCTAAATCTGGAAAACCCACCCCCGCCCTTATAAAACTCGGCATGGCCCACTATCTGGACCAGAAATACTATTCTCGTACTTCTCGTTACCACGAATCTCAACTGGAAGATGCAAATGCGAAGACAAATTACGAATAAATTAATATCATCGTGTTATTGTTCGTATAATTTATCTTGACGTTAATACTAATACTATGACCGATAGATCTGGGCCATCCACAATATCTATCTGACTTTGACTAAGGTTACCACCCTTGCACGCGTCGCGAATAAACTTTTGTCTAATCTTCTTTCGGCAAACATCTCCAGTCTTTTTTGCGTCGAGAAAAGATTCGCGAAAATACGTATCGTTCGCGAACAATGAATATTTTCCAATAATATCCGTTGAATCGTTTTGTAAATGCAGTGAATCGTACGTGGAATCGTTTTGTAATTGCAATGAAAAAGAATCGCGTGCTGCGTCTTTCTCGTATCTGCGCTTATGATTATTTTGTATTTTGGGATGAGACAATCGACTTGTCAGTTTCTTTCGATCCAACAAATCTCCGAGTACATCGACCTAACTTTTACCAAGATACGCCAGCGAGCTGTTGCGATCACGAGTTCTTGCAAGAGAATATTATCGGTAGTGAAGCTTTCAATCGGAAACGATCACCCGCGATAATCACACTCTCTACGTTCACAGAACACATGCACACGCGTACACACCCACGGAAGATTTCGCAAATCTTCGAAAGATTGATTACCGACAAATCTTTTCGAATCCGCCTCTTTCTTTTGCGATAATCGCACGCAAATTTCAAATAGGCGAATTCGAACGTGACTCACACGTGCAACCTTTTACACAACGTTTTCACCGGTTTACGTACCGACGACACGACGATTAAATCGTAAAGATACACGCTGACCACACCGGTACAACGAATAGAACGAACACTCTAGGTCCGTAGACGACCGAAGAGTGCGGCGAGGAGCGTCGTTTGCTTCGGGACAGCGGCTGCTCCACGGGATCTTTGAGATCGATGGTGGGGAAATCTACGTTGTGATTCGCTGTTACCTCTCATTGTGGTGGGGACGCCGGTTGGTCGACCTTTGTCACACGCGACGGAAGCTATACTTTCGCACCAAGTTCTTTAATTCTAATTGTTCTATGTTTATGTATTGTCACATTACCAAATTTCACTTTCTTAAAATATTTTTTCATGTATAAATGGTCCAGTTTTAATAAACCATGCCATTTTTACGCATGTTTCTGGCGTCTTTTGAATTAAGAATTAATTTTTGAATTAAAAAGAAGATTTTATTTATCGAAAGAAAAAGAGATTTTAGAAAATTTGTTATTGGATAAAAGTTTTCATAAAAAAATTTCTATTCGAAAGATTGTAAAAATTGTAATATAATATAATCAATATTTAAAATTGTTTTATATTTAATTCTATCTTATATATGATATTCTCCGTTGATAATTGAAATTCTATATTCTTCAGACTTTCAAATATTTGAATGATTCATACGATTACGATGAATGAAAATCGAAAGTACCGTTTTGTAGTGACGTAAAAGAATATCGGTACCGGAACGTCATCGAAATATGACTACTTTATTGACAAATTTTCCAAACTCGTGTGAATTATTGCACGAGTTTTGTCAGTGCGACTCTTGATAAGGAAGGATTCGTCCGTCTCTTTGCCACGAATTAGTGTCAAACATGATCGAGAGAGAACAGACAAAAAAGGATTTAAAAGAATTAACGAAAAATGACAAGTATTCCATTTTACTTCCAACTTATAACGAAGTCGAAAATTTACCTATAATTATTTGGCTTATTATCAAGTATATGGATGAGAGGTAACTATCGTGGCAACATAACCTCAAACGTGAATGAAATCACTGCTCCTGAAATGGTGTAATTATACAATTATAAATATGAAATCAAAAAGATTGATCAGTCAAGTGAAAATATGCAACATTCTAGCGATCTGGATTATGAGGTAATCGTGATAGACGATGGTTCTCCAGATGGAACATTGGATATGGCCAAACAGCTGCAAAATGTGTACGGTGAGAACAAAATTGTTTTGAGACCAAGAGAAAAAAAACTTGGACTAGGCACAGCTTATATGCATGGGATTAAACATGCTACAGGAAACTTCATTGTCATTATGGATGCAGATTTGTCTCACCATGTATTTATCTCTTTATAGTTTTGAAACGCTTTAGTTTAAGAATAACATTGAATTTGTTACTTATTATGTATATTTTTATTTTTATAGCCCAAATTTATACCAAAAATGATAGAACAACAGAGATATCTTGATCTAGATATTGTTAGTGGCACCAGATATGCACAAGGTGGAGGAGTTTATGGATGGGATTTCAAAAGAAAACTAATAAGTAGAGGAGCAAATTTCTTAACACAACTTTTGTTGAGACCAGGAGCAAGCGATTTAACAGGAAGTTTTAGGCAAGTAATTTAAAATTAAATAATATAAATTCCATAATTAACAAATGAATCTTATACTATTAAAATTATAGGTTATATAAAAAAGATATACTGGAAAAACTTATACAGTCTTGTATATCAAAAGGATATGTCTTCCAAATGGAAATGATTGTAAGAGCACGACAATTCAAGTACACTATAGGAGAAGTTCCAATTACATTTGTCGATCGTCTTTATGGAGAATCGAAATTGGGAGGATCGGAAATTTTCCAATTTGCAAAAGGTCTTCTATATCTTTTTGCCACCACATAATATAATATATATTTAAAAAAAATAACATTCCTTCTGTATAAAAATTATATGTAAAGAAGAAAAAGTGTATATTATGTTTTTTAAATAAATAATTATAGTTTGAATTTCTTTATCGATATTACGCGATAATTAATTTAATAAATTTAATTTTTTAAATTAATAAAGAGCAAATGCATTGTTGCGAAACGAAAACACACGTGTATACGTACACGTGGTTGTGAATGACGGACACGGTACACATATAACGATTCTCTAGCATGCGATTCCACCCTCGCCGCACCCTCTGACGTCACACAGCCTCCGTTTATTGATCCATTACGAAATTACAGTCTATATTTCGACTTGAGCAGAATGCAAGACGGTGCCATAATGTGCCATGTACGGAAACTAGCCAAGATGTGAAAAAATATTCCTACGATTCTGTATATTCTAATTTTCCAATCACACAATCATACAATAATAACAAATAAACTTTCGTAATTAATCCGTTCTTTTTTATCTATTCTCTATGAATAAATGGAAACAATCTTTTTTTTACAACGTAAAATTAACGACAAAAATACCGACAAATGCTACCTAATATTTTATTATTCCCTTCGAAAAATGTCGAAATTATTTTTAAAAAAAATAA